TTTTTAAAATACTATATTTATATATTCTATATACTATATACTATATATTCCCGTTGACAATACTCACTGATAGCAATCGCTCTGGCAGACGCCATCCTTGAGCGTGTAGCCCGGCCCACAGTCGCACTCGTTGTTATCCCGACAGATGCCGCCGATGCCGCAGTCCGGGTCGCAGACGGGCTGGCAGCCCTCGTTGGTCAGCTGGTAGCCCTTGGCGCAGCTGCAGACCTCCGGCTCGGTGCAGTTGTGGCGTGGATTGTTGCCGCAGCCAGTGCTGCAGATGGGCCGGCAGAAGCGGCGCGTCTCGTCCAGCATGTAGCCCATGTCGCACTGGCAACTGCCGTACAGGTAGCATCGGCCGTTCTGGCAGCCGATGGGGCAGGCGAACACGCAGTCCCCGTTGTCGTTGCGCACGAAGCCCTCGTAGCAGTCGCATTCGCCCGGCACGCGGCAGCCGCCGTTCTGGCAGCTGCAGATGGGCCGGCACACGGTCACGCCCATCAGGCGGGTGGGCGTGTAGCCGGTGCAGCAGACCTCAATCGAGGTCAGTTTGTTGGCCACGTCCGTCTGAATGAGACTGGCCAGTGGATATTTGGAGACAGCTTCAGAGCTACAAAGAGGAGGAACAATTAAATGAGGGACAGTGAATAGTCATTAAAACGAACAGCGTCATTTATAGAACTGCTTGATTCTTGTTATTAATAATATATGGGATGGATGTTTTTTTTTTTAATAGACACTAAAATATGATTAAGCTGTATTATGAAGCAAATCTGTTTTTGGTTTTATTTTTATTATTTTTTAACTTTATTTTACAACATATACACGAACTAGATTTTTTAGATCAATTACTCAAATACCTTAAAATATTTATATATCATAAAAGCCCTATACTGAAAAGCCCTATATATGTTATGAATATAATTTAATATAAATCAAACAAATTTTATTAGAAATATTATCTACAGCAGTTGCTCTACTCTACTCCCTGATTAACTCAATTAATATTCAACGCTCTACAATGCTTTCGGTTCGCTAATGCTGAGCGTTCACTGTACTCACGGCACCCATATGCGACACTTGTGTTGGTCACGACTCGAGACGCCCTCGTGAGCGCGCAGCAGATATTCACGCCTACGCGGCTGCTGTTGCTGGGCTGGCGTCTCGGCAAGGTCAAAGTTGATGCCGCCGCCCGGGCGGGGATAGAGCGTTTGTGCAGCCGCCGCCTGTTGCTGCAGCTGCTGCTGCCTGTTGCTGTAGCGTCCGCCCCCTCCGCGCCTCGTGTCGTAGCGCGTGGGCGCATCGTACTCCGAATAGCTGGGCACGTTTGCCCCAATCCGAGCCAGACCCACGCCGAGCAGCACTATCAGAGCCTGCTGGGCATGCCTGAGTGTATGCATTGTAAGCCCCACTTATATATGTATATATTTTGTTTTGGTTTTCGTTGTTTGCAATCCACTTGCTAAATTCAAACTAAGTTCTCAAGTTTCGCTCGCGTGCTACTGCCCCAATAAATCACTGCGAACGGCTTATCAGTGGTATTTGCTTTTGTTTTTGTTTTATTTAGATTTTTCGGACATGTTCTCAATATTACTTTAAATCTTGCTCTCTGCTCATATTGTGAAATTAGTATTCCGAAAATGCTCTACAGTTGTATATGTCTATCCAATCAATTTTTACATTGATCGATTAAGAATTTCCGAAATATTTATGTTGAGCTTTAATTTTTGTACAACTCTCTATTTCTTTATTCATCTATAAATTTAAAATTTTTTAAATCGTTTTCAAATTATTGTTTTAATTATTTCTGATAAATATTTTTCTTGCTCTGATAAATATAAATAAAGAAAATATTGAAAAAAATATTCAAGTAAATGCTAAAAAATTATTAGTATTTTAGAAATGAACGAAT